TTTGGTCTAGCATTGATACGAACATATGTGTACAGATGAAATGTTCTTGAGTGAACGTTCTCGAGTGAATGAAACCACGCAAGCAGACTACATTTTGCCGGCTGGGTTTGGAACCCACGACCTTCGAAATGCTAGATCGTAGCAGCTGAGCTAATATCGTAAACATGCTCGATTATATCGATTCAGCATTGAACAATACTACAGGGTGTATCAAAAAAAACTGAACAGATTTGAAATTGCTCCCAATTTCGCAAAACACCTAGTTGTATCTGGTTTTATATATGTATAGCTTCTTTGGGTACTTATAATGTAAAATAATGAAAAAAATTTCTCGAACTCAAATTTTGTGAACCAGGGGGGTGTGTCTTTTCCAACAAACTAAAAATGGCTCGCGCACAAAATTTAAAAGCTGTAATCATATTTTGAGTTAATGGATGGAAACTTTGTCGGGTTTTTAATTACTGTGCAAAATTTCAGACAATTTGGTTTAGTTTAAGCCCTTTAACTATTCATTTTGTTCTAAAAAGTCAGCCTTTCGCATGCTTAATTAATGCCTTTACCTAATTTGCATATTGCTGACATATGCAAATTAGGCAAATGCATTAATTAGGCATGCAAATAGCTGATTTTTCGGGAAAATTGTAACTTTGCGTGAATAGTTAAGGGGCTTAAACTGAACCAAATTGTCTGAAATTTAATTTTGTACAGTAATTAAAAACCCGACAAATTTTCCATCTGTTAACTCAAAATATGATTGCAGCTTTTAAATTTTGTGCGCGAGCCATTTTTAGTTTGTTGGAAAAGACACTCCCCCCTGGTTCACAAAATTTGAGTTCGAGAAATTTTTCTCATTATTCTACATTATAAGTACCCAAAGAGGCTATATATATAAAAAACCGGATACAAATAGCTGTTTTGCGAAATTGAGAGCAATTTTAAATCTGTTCAGTTTTTTTTGATACACCCTGTATAGTTCGGCTGCGAGTGTTATGTGATGTTGTGATATTGTCCACTCGTTAATATGACAGGATGAAAGCATTTCACTCGACCAAGAGCCGTCACTCGAGCGCATTCACTCAGAACATTTCATCTGATATTATACCTTCATCATATCATGTTCATATATACAGCTAATTCAAAAAAGGCTGTCCCTTTGCTGACTTTGCAAACCTTAAACTCTAAACACAATTGGAGCATCATTTAATCAGTTAGAGGTCATATATGGGGCCCATTTCTTAAAGACATGATAAATATCTCCTTTGTACGAGAACAACTAAGCTTGAGACTTGTGCTCCCATTAAGCTTTGCGCGCTTAGAGTTTAAGGTTTAAGGTTTAGAATTTAAGGTTTGCAAAGGACAAAGTTTTTTAAATTGGCTGTATATACAGGGTATATCAGAACAAAAGTAATGCGACTTTGACATGTTACTATGCGTTAATTAATACGTTAATAGGTTTTTTCAGGCTTTTAGTTGTAAAATGACACCTTTATTGAATCATTGCGATACTGATGACCAAATGCGATCTAATTTATAGTGGTCGGTTGAATTCCCATTTTCCCACCTTTTTATGGATTTAAATGTTCTTCCAGTTTCCGAACATTTTCCGAAATTAAATGTTTGTTGCCCATTTGGAAAGCATATGCCATTGTGAGTCCAGTCTGCAAGCTACTAGGGTTTTAAAGTTCAAAACTTGATGATAAAACCTACATGGTTCTAATACTGCTGCTAATCGGCATACATTCTTTTGTGAATTATTTGGTTGAACTGCTAACGACAATAGATCGAGACCTTACGATTTGGGAGGGCAACGCGACGGCAACGGCTACCAATACAACAAATCATCGTCATTGAAAATAATTGAATAATTACAATATATGAATAATTTAGACATTGTTCTTCGCTCTGTTTACAACGCCAAATCACAGATTTTCACGTCTTAATACAACGGCTGCATTTCAAGCCTGCAATAAGTGCAACTTCAAACTGGGTTCAACAGAACTCTTCCCAACCATAAAACCCATGTCTTCAACTTCTAAGACAGTATTAAATTCATACGATTGATAATATACGACGAATTATCTTTACTACGATTTATTTGAAGGAGTTTGTTTTGGCCGTCGTCGTCGCGTTGCCGTCCTAAAATCGTAAGGTCTCTAATAGTCCGCCGACATCCGCAAATATGAATGTGAACCAGGCTTTACGCATGCGTTGCGCCATGTTTACTCAAGGGAATCCAATTTGAATCCCAAATGAGAATAATTTCAATGCTTGGACAATAGTTTTTTACGCAATTCACAACAGTTGAAAAAGATTGGACATTAGTTTAGTGAACGAAATAGCCATACATCGAAAGTGTTCATTATACATTATATGCCCTAGCGTTGTTGCAAGTAATTTCCTGAACTTAGGAGGCTAAATAGGACGTTACCCATCATACCTTGCGCGCTCAGTGTTTAAGGTTTAAGATCTTTGAAGGACAACCTTACATATATACACATCTTATATATACAAAACAAAATCTTTATAATGTCATTATAAGTATATAAATAAAATCTTTATAATGTCATGGTGTTTTTGTTGCAACTTTATAATATAATACAATTACAACCGGTACAGGCTTATACTGTATCTGCATGGGCTTCCACAATCAGTGAACAATCCGACAATGTAGTTGAATAAAATAGTTCTGTCATGCGCGAAATAACCCTCTAGGGACTCCCTGTTTCTCATATGTATACACAGTGCATTTTTTAAGGATTCTTCAGTGGTGGGGCAAAACTGCCAAAGGGCCCATTTTCCTTGTCCCCCCCCCCCCCAGGATAGTATGCGATCGCCGAAGGTGTGAGCTGAGTACCGCAGGCTCGAGTTAGCTAGGCGGGGTCTGGGGGCATGTCCCCCAAAGAAAATTTTTAAAATTTGGGTCTTTGAAATAGCATTTCCTGCATCCTGAGAACACATTTAAAAAAAAATCTCGGCTTCTCAAAACAAAGTTTTAATGGTGAAATTTGTAATAAATTGCATGCTAATCATTCAAACACAACATAAGTTTAAGTATGCTCATCAACAAATTTTGTTTTTTAAACTTTTCAATGTTAAACTCATTTAGTCAATGTAGGTCATAGGGCCCTGGCTTTGGGGCACTAGGCCATTCTTTTCTTCAGTGGTGGGGCAGAGGAGGGGGCCCAGTGGGGCAAATGCCCCACCAGTCCATGGTATTAAAAAATGCCTTGTGTATACATATTATCCGCATGAACAATGACTCGAGGATCTCACAGGAGACGAGTTTTCTTTAATATTTCCGTCCAGTGTTTTGAACGCGGTGTAGCATTGACCTGGTCAATATCAGTTACATGTTATCGTCGTGCTTGATTCCACTGACGTCCATTCGTGTCCGAGTGTTTTATTCCGCCGAGTGTTCTACACGCAAGGTTGCGCTGGGTCACGGAATCTTACCAACATATATATGACTCGTGTCTGATCACAGAGCGCAAAAAGAGTAATAGAATTATAACCTATACCAAACATACTCTTGCCAGTAAAGGCATAGACGTGTGGAATAATCTTCTCACAAACAGGGCCGTTCCTAGCGCGATAATTGGCGGGGGGGGGGGATTATATTCATATATATATATATATATATATATATATATATATATATATATATATATATATATATATATATATATATATATATATATATATATATATATATTCCTTGTAAATGTAATATTTTGGGCGAAAAATATTTTTTAAAAAACTGTGAAAATTAGTTTGGGCGAGACTCGGGCAAAACCAGAATACGCAATACGGCACACATAAAAACGCACAAGTTGTTACAGATCTCAGTAAATAAGTTGTAACCAAAGGTTGTTGTCAAACCTATAACACTGTATATATTCGCACTGCTTGGTTAGTCCTTATTAACTGTGGTTAGTCCCAGTTGTTGTGACAAGCCTGGAACAAGTTGTTGTCACGTTGTCACAAGGTTCATGCAAGTTGTTCTGTATTAGACTATGTACACGCACATTATTTACTATAACTTTGGTTAACATTCCATATACGGGGATTACGCGCAAAAGTCTCCATGCTGCTGACTTAGTAACTTTCACAACAAAAACTGTCAGATCTGTCGATTATACTTGACTGTCAGAGGTTGACTGTTCTTAACTACACAGACTTCTAGCGGAGGTTCCGGGGACTCTCCCAAGAAAAAATTTGAAATCTAGAATTTGAAGAAAAATTTGAAGTCTCTGCAATGACATTTCCTCCGTTTTGTCGAAGCTTTCAAATGACCTCCTCAACGATTGAAACTGATCCTAACCAACAGCAACTGTTTCCAGCCACGACCGCTGTCAAAAACCAAGCGGCTCGTTTTTGCATTTTGTAGACTACGACATGCAGTATACCATTATTCCACACAGTTGAACAATATGCAAAATGGGGGAAGAACCAATCCATTAAACATACTAACAAGAGTGTCTTGGGAAACATATGATCTCGCTCTTTTTAGCAGTGCTATAGAGTTTAGAAAGTCTTGCATAAATCGACTTTTAAAACAATATTTGTGCTGTATTGATTATAATGTATAAAGAATTATCCCTTAAAGTGCTGCCGAAATTTGAGAAGACTCGTAATGCGCATTTTCCGGCGGTTGTCAATTAAACGCGCATGCTTATGATTTGGCTACTTACGTCAAGTGTTCCGCTGCGCAACACACAAGACGCGCTGACGCGAAACGCGCATGCTTAGGACCGACGACTTGCAGTGCCGCCAAATTTTAAGAAGACTCGTAATTTAATGGTATTTTCCGGCGGGTGTCAGTCAAATGCGCATGATTCTGATTAGGCTACTTACGTCAAGTGTTCTGCTACGCTACACACAAGATGCATGCACTGACGCGAAACGCGCATGCTTGGAACGACTTGAACTTAGCTATCCGAACGGATAAAAAGCGCATTCATTTCACACTCATCACTCATTTCAATTCCTCTTGGTTGAAGACAGAAGTATCAAGACAGAACTGTCAAGACAGAAAGACGCAGGTATGCACAGATGTATTATATTGTCACAACCTAATATAGTCGCCTTTCTTAGGAGAATCTCGCTAGACATTTTTGCTGGCTATCATTTAATTAATATTCTGTTCACTCAGTTTCCGTATTTTATTCTAGTTCAGTTCAAATTGCTGAAAAGCCGCTTGAATTACAATCCTATCATATCAAGGCAGAAAGATAAAACAGGTATGTGTGCAGTTCTATCTTTATTTTCTAGATATCGTCTTTTACTTTCATACAACTTTGTTTATACGGTCTAGAGGTTGAGTTTATTGAGTTGCTCACAGCTCACTCATAATTGGTGAGCAGATTTCCCAACTGGCTAGTATCGCCCAATCGAATAGGGATTCCGAAGTACCTACAATTTAACGTTCTTATCCGAGAACAAGCGAAATTCTAACCATTTACAGATGTCAGTGCAAAGGTAACTCTTTCTCTTCAGTTACTTTAAGACTTTGATGTATAGTGGAATATAGTTACTAGAATATCAAACCTGAAACCTCCCTTCTAAATTTATTTATTTATTTATTAACTTTACAATCATAGAAACGTATAACAATGATTGAAGGTATGGTCAACAGGACATGAGGAACACCGCATTTTATTGTACCGAAAGAAGAGTCTAAATGAGAAGAGTAGTGAACATGAGCTCTGCAGTGGAGTTTAAATCCATTTCTGAATTCCATTTCTCTTTAGAGACATGCAGTGGCTTTTTTTTACACTGGTCGCTCTTCACATTGCGACAGTTCCCACAGCTGGTATGAAAAATCAGCATAACGATTACCTCGTTTGTACACCTGAAACTGAATTCAACCCTGGCGTCTGTGATTGCACGGCTAGTCGCTGGCGAAAATGTTTTATAAAATTGACAATTACAAAAAATAAATTTGACAATTCAACACTAATCGACGAATCCCAGCTTTTCAGCGTGAACGGAGGGAGAATTGGGCCAACTATTATCGCAAAGTACAATCAACTGATAGTCGCTGACGTTTACAATCTAATCAACGACAAAGAAAACCCGGACAATTCTAACGTTTCAATGCACTGGCATGGCATGCATCAGTTTAATACCCCATGGATGGATGGTGTCGGTATGATCACACAGTTGCCAACGAAACCTCGCGATGCATTCAGGTAAAAAAATATGCACACATTATATATATACCGGGTGGCCCAAAAAAAAGTACTCCTGTTTGATTTATAATAACTTCTAAACAAGTAAAGCTATCAAACAGAAATAACTTGCATTAAATAGAGGAAGGACTAACTTAGATTTTGATATGTTACAGTTGTATTTTACTTAAAAATTCACGGAGATATTAATGTTCAAAATCGGGAGCATATTTTGGGATGTGTCTAAAATTAGCGAAAATCGGCGTATCAAATTTTCACTCCAGCGTTTGTTTGCTTAATGACATATATCAGGGTAAATTGTATTTCAGCGAATTGTCGTTAGGGTTTGTAAGGGATATGGCGTAGATTTAGACATCTTACATGTAAGTCTTAACTTATTGTTTCCTGAAATATGAACGTTCGAAATTATGTAAGTATTTAATAGGTCTTTGCAAACTTAAGGTACTGAAAGACCATGCAAGGCAGGCGCTTCAATTTTTCTTAAATAACCTATTTTTTATGTTTTTCATGGGTTCAAAACAAAGTTGATTATTTCTCGGTTAGAGCAGGATTAATAGATATAATAATACTTTGTTTCATAATAAACAATTTGTCAAGTGTCATTTATTTACTGGTAATAGTGCATGTTTCAGTCGGGCAAATCTTGATTAATATTTGATACGCCGATTTTTGCATATTTCAGACACATCCAGAAATATCCTCCCGAATTTAAAGATTAATATCTCCGTGAATTTTTAAGTGAAATACAACTGTAATATATCAAAGTCTAAGTTAGTCCTTCCTCTATTTGATGCAAGTTATTTCTCTTTAAAAGCTATACTTGTTTAGATGTTATTACGAATCAAACAGGAGTACTTTTTTTTGGGCCACCCGGTATACAAAACAACTAATCTTTATAATGTCATTATGTACTATTTAAAACACGAGTAGGAGTGTTTTATCAGATATATAACGCGAGGCGCAGCCGAGCGTTTTATGTCTGATAAAACACGACAACGAGTATTTTGAATAGCTTAAAATACGACTACAAAAGAATACTAATTAGGATGAACCATTATACAGTATAATCATACTAATTAGGATGAACAATGATATTAATCATGCCTCATGCTTTATCAGATATAAAGTCACTCCACGTGACATATTATGGCCGACATTGAATTATTAATGAGTATTTTAAAAGATCCTCATCCATCTGATGAGTTCATTGGCGAAGTAATTTTAAAAATAAACACTGTCTAAGCCGAGAAAATCAAAGCTGAAGTTTATGTAAATCAGGACAAATCTTTGTCCGATTTACAAGCATTGATTAAACATTCATTTCTTTTGTATTTTCCTCGTGAATTATTAATGAATTTTTTAAGCATAAATAAAATCTAGAAATGTTATCATGGTGTTTTTGTTGCAACTTTATAAACCCTGGTTTCCATATGGTCGAAATGGTTGTAAAAATACGAGTCACGATCTTTCTCAACGGCCAGTTTATTATAGTTTATACGGCTGTAAACCACATATAAATCATAAGTATTCTCCAGTTATAATCACTCCGCGTATTTTTAGTTCTAAAATGTTGTATTTCGGCTGATGAGAAAGATCGTGACTCTATCTTTACGACCGTTACGACCATATGGAAACCCGATGCGCTTAGGGGCGGACCATTAGAAAAGTGATGGGGGAACAAAAAAAAAATTCGTGCGAGGCAAATTAACTTTAAAAAAAATTCCTGCATGATCAAATTCGAGGAAAAAAAATTCCTGCAGAGCGCAATGAAAAATATAATTAAATCATTGTTGGCGAGATTGTTAATTGTTGGAAAACAGGGCCAAGCTTTATTTTATTCTGGACTTGCAATCCACGATGTTAGTCATCTTTCAACAAAAGTAGGTCGTTTAATATCTTCTATAGACGTCTATAGAAGATTATAGAATGGTGGGCCATGTAGCCGCAAATTCAATTGCGGCGGTGCCTTTGGCTTTGCATCATTTGGAATGGTATATAAGAATTGGACGGCTTCATGTAATCATGTATGTCTTTTAATCAGAGTCAGACACAGGTATTAAACTGACTCGCACAGAGATACTACTGAAATCGTAAATTCGTAAAATAAATTGGAACTTGAAGTTGAAAACGTATGTTGTATAAAATATGTGTTTTTAATAAAAAGTCTGGTATTGGGGTTTGGCTTTGGGTGAATGGGTGGGGCTAGGACTGAGGAAAATGAGAGATCTTTGTCTTTTGACTCCATGGCTGTATTAAAATATATAATAGTTTTCTACAACTTTTCAAAAGTAATTGTTCAAGGAATTTAATCACATTATTTATTGAAAGAACAGAAAATAGTTAGTCTTTTTCATACGTTACTTGTGCTTTGTTAAGAAAACTTCTAGTTTCATGGGAAAAAAAATTCGTGCAAATAATTTGGTGCCAAAAAAAAATTCCTGCAACGCCAAAGCAGTCGAAAAAAATATCGTGCATGCAAGAAAAGTCCCCCATCACTTTTCTAATGGTCCGCCCCTTAATACAACCGCAAACTTACTCGGCATGGGCTGCTACAACCAGTGAACAGTCTACATCTTGAATGCGCGAAAGGATCCACTGATGTATACACTCATTAATATTATCCGCATTAACAATATAAACGCTTACTACTTGGGCTACAATAACAATGACTCAAGGGACGCACACGAGAGGAGTTTCCTTTTCATATTTCCGGCTAGTGTTTTGAGCGCAGTGTACTGTAGCATTCACTGGCGTTCATGAATGAGCCAATTTGGAGTCTTTTGGGCACTCTTGTCCAAAACAAATTGAACAAAATTACCATTGATATTGTGGTGAAATATCCTTTACTAGTGAAATATTCTTTATGTGAATTTAAACTGGGGGTGTTTCAGCATCCATAACACTTTTCACAGAGGGTTAATTAGGCAGCTCCAAAATAGATCAAGTCGTCGTAATAAGCCTATTCCTTGCATGTTTAAAAGAGTGAGCTTTTTCCAACGCCTTCACCCACAGACGAATTCTTAAAAAAAGGTTCTGGTTTAGAACTGACTATAGAGTTATTTGGTATGAATTAATAAAGTTAGTTTTTTAATTACCACAGAAAACAAAGATTTGATGAAATACTTGTGAGCCAGAACTGACTCAATGTTTAACACACCCATCTTACAAATCCTTCGGACAAACTTAGAATTTATATAATTACCAATAGAACTTACTTACAATAGAACTTACAAACTTAGAATGTGATCACTCTGTGATCACTCTGTGGGGAGGGGGCCCTACCAAAAGGGACCATACTATACTGAGTGTGGAGAGATGACAGATGGTTGGTGTGGTGCTGTATGTAATAGTGGGGGGAGGGTCTGGAATTCTCCCCCAGAAACATTTTTTATTTTTCCACTGAAACAAATTTTTGGATATACAGCCAAACTCTGATCGCTAGTTTTTTTGGGGGAGAGAGAGGGTGGCTTAGCCCTCTGTTTCGCCTTTGTGGAATGGGGTGAATCAATAGGTAATCACACCACTAATCTGAAGCGGCCTATATAGGATTGATCTGAAGACTATAGCTATACAATCAGGAGCAAAAATTATTGAGACAACCGCATAAATGCACACCTCACCCCCAATTCAATGGCGTGTGAATGACTCGGAGAAGAGAAAATTCAACCCACTTTTTCCAACATTGATCATGGGGGCGGGGGAGAGGCCGACGTACTTTAAAATGGCCAAAAAGTGAAAAGCCTCACTATTTTTGCACGCGATTGTAGGTCCCCTTAAAAGCCTTAGAATGGAGGAGTCTAGGCTCTCTTTAATGGACAACTTGCATGTCAGACTAAATTTTAATCTAAGT